TCTCTCACTTTCTCGTTCTCTGACGTCCCATTCATTCAGCACCTCGCGCTTAAGTTTCTGCTTCTCCGCAATCTCAGTCCGCATTCGTTCGGCTTCTGCCTCAAGCATCTTGATCCGCTTTTCCTGGTCAGGGGGTAGACCGGAAGGGAGCAATTTCCCCCCAGGAACAATTTTCTCGTTAGTAGCGAGATGTTGTTGAACGGAGTTAAAACGCTGTGTGCGAGGGTACGTCATGCTGGAACTGTTGTTGCCTCTGAATGGGAATGTGGGCTCTCCTCCAGCAGGACCGCCGCGTCCAAATCCGCCGCGGTAGCTGGACCCTCCACTGTATTCAGCACGGTTGCTTGAGCTAAAGTCACTTCCACGTCCGTAAGAGCCTCCTCGTGGTCCGTAGGGCGCGGGCCCCCTGAATGGTAAGCCGCTTCGACCACGCACCGGGGGAGCCGAGAAATCTCGAGAAGGTGGACCGTCAAATCTACCAACAGAGCCACGGGGTCTGGTAGGAGCGTTCAGGGCAGACGCGCCTCCACCACGATTGTGAGCGGATATTGACATCGATGCTGCAGGGCCAGTGGGTGGCGATTGGATGGGTTGACTGAAACTACGTGATGGACCGGTGGGCGGCGGTCTCTCGTACGTGCCGTTTCGATAGCTGCTGGGACCAGAGGGCGGTTGTCGGGTCTCGCCGTTCGCGTGTACCTCGTCCCGCGGTGTGCTCACATCAGTTTCTCGGGGGCGCGGTTCTCCACCTGCAGCTGAAGTTGCAGCAGGTGATCTGCCTCGAAAGCTGGCTGCGTCGGCACTGTCATATTGATCTCGAGTGAGATGTGGGGGTGATCTTGGTTGAGAACCTGTCAAGCTCGCGCGGTCCGGATGAACAGGAGGAGATGACCTTCGCGAAGTGTTGTGTGATGCTGGGCCAGAATCTCTCGGCGAAAGAGACCGTCTCACCCAGTTGTCGTGTTGCCTTCGGCGCGGCGGCGTTCTTGACCTGGGTCTGTAACTCTCACCCCCTCTAGGTGAATTCCTGACAGGGGACCGTTCGCGGTCGAAACGATTTCGTTCGGGGGATAATCGACGTTCACGTTTTGGTGAGCGTCGCGCAGGGTCAGGAGAAAACTCTCTGTACCTCTTTGTGTCCGGGGGACTTCGTGTCCTCGCACCAGGCGGTGACCTAGATCTCCTCCTTGGTGGCGATCTTCGTGGGGAGTAACGGCGGATGGGTGAACGTCTATTGGCAAATAAATCTTCTCTTCTATTCGGCGGGGTTCGTGAGCGTCGTCGAAAGGCTGGGGATCGACTTCGTGGCCTTGTAGCCCTTGTACTCGTGTTTGGCACGTAGGAGTCAATGTCATCTCTTCTTTCATCCCGTCGTCCGTCTCTTCTGTCGGCGGTCCACGAGTCTGCAGCAAACCGGTCCCGGTCACGTTCCCGATCGCGGTTCGGAGGTCTGTATGAATTGTCACCTCCTGCGCCACCGGGCCTGTAGCTTTCTCCCTCGCCAAAATACTCCACATCTGGATGCGAATCTCGTTCTCGATGTCCTCTATCTCGGGGTGCGGGCGACCGCCGTGGCCTAGCATGGGTCAGTCATCTCGACGAAGATCAGGACTGCGGAGAACAGTACCCCCGGTAGCGGTCCATGAGGACTATCAGTAGAGATGTCCGCAGCAAGCTATCGTGATATGCCGCGACATGAAGTTCATCTCATTTGGAACTGACGGTAGAAAGTATCCCACATGATGTGTTGCGGCTTGACAGATGCGCTAGGAGCTTCCTCGAGGCAGATTCACTGTCTGGGGTGCATGCAGGTTCACCAGGACCAGAAATTATATGCCAAGCTTTCAGTCTCGCCTGCACAAGGCTTTGGCAGTATCCTTCGATGTTGGTTTATTGCGCCTCATGCGTAAAGTCCAAGAGTATTCGTGGCCCACGACGTGAAATATCTACAGAGTCCAATTGAATGGTTACATAACTCTTGCTTATCACGCAGCACAGGCCCCACGAGTACACGGCGGAGCCAGTAACAGTATTTGACGAGGTATCTGATTATGGTGGTGTACCTATCCTGTCCACCAAACAGCACGACTTTTCTACCGAGCAGAGAAATCAATCAGGACACGCCAGGTTGGTAGGTGTCAAGAATCCCCATCTGGTGCGGCTGGTCTCCAGGGGAGACCGAAATGTACAGCCCATCGACCATCTTTGGCACCGATCGACGGTAATTCCACTTTGGAGTTGAAGCCCTAGATAATGACCAACAGCAAGTCCTCAGCTCATGGTGTAAGATATGCTGAACCATGTGTTCCTGGCTTGATTGATCGAAGGAGCTTCTTTGGCTTCTAGGTGTGGTAGAATAGTAACAAGGCGACTCGCCTGCGACAGAGAAAGAGCATACTCTGAGTGTGTTATGGCCTTTGCCAAAGTCCAAGCCAGAGCTCTAGGCAGTATTGAGATCCTGTTGCTTTTTCGTGCAAAGGTCGTCTAACCTGCCAAAGTCAAACACCCTGCTCTGCCATGTTTGCCAAAATGAAGGCGGGAGGACAGTCACTGCTCTCTCTCGGACGTGCTGGACCTCAGTAATCCAGGCTAACTTCTTGCAGCGAGGCGCTTGGAAAGAGCGCGCAAGCAATTTGTTCCTCGGAGTGCTCCGCTGCCAAAGCAGCTATGAAGCGACAGCGGTGTCTCGGAATTGGCGTTGCTCAAGCGCCACGTTACAAGTTGCCTTGATGGATGGCATCTGAGAGCAATTTGTTGAAAGGAGCGCGAACCGCACCGGCCTTCCATTACCAACACCGAAGTATTGTCTCATGCTTTGATACAAAAAACACCGGGCGAAGTTTTGGTTGGCGGCGTATCTGCCTTCGGATCATCTCTTCCCCTTCCTTTCTTCATCCCGCTTCTGCCTCTTCCTAAGTTCTGACGCAATCATCTCAGACAAGTCCTCTTGGAAATCCCAATTAGGATTCTGATCTGCTTTACGACCTTGCTCATATGCGCGTCGCAGGTCTTCTTTATCCATCCCATCATGTGCAGCAAGAGCATCCGGGTCCATCGACACATCCACATCCCCGGGCCTCTTCCGTTTGCGGGACGTGTCATCTTGTCCCAGGACGGGCACACCGGACGCAGAGTGTTGTTGAGCGGCCTTGAGGTCGTAGACGCGGTCACCTCCGAAGAAGCCCTCAACACGAGTTTGGCGTTCTGGAATGACTTGGTAGGCTGATCGTGGATGAGACGATTCTTCAGTTTCCGTGCCTCGACGTTTCCGCAAGTCAAATTCAGAGACGGTTTCCGTGCCGCCAATTTCCGTGGGCACGGCGGAGGTCATGCCACTAGGTGTCTCCATACCGGTTGAAGCGTCTAGCCCAGCACCACCCTCCTCTTCCTCTTCCTCTTCATCCTCGTCTTCCTCTTCCTCTTCGGACTCTTCTTGTTCTTGCAATTCGCCCCAGAGTTCTTTCTCAACAGGCTCGCCTTGTTGAGCGTTCTGCGTCTGCTGTAGAACACCGAAGATATCACCACCATAGAGAGGTCTGTTCGTCGCTTCATCCACAGGCGGTTTGCCCCATTGGCCCGGTGCAAACCCCCAGCTTGCACCCGGCGGGGGAGGAGCATTAACGCCGGGTACCTTGAGAGCTGGGTACGATGGAGGTGGCCCGTATCTCTGCATATTGATCAGCCACGGAGGAGGTGCGCCGGGGGGCATGTTCAGCGCCTCCTTCAGTTCGTCAGATAGCTCCCCAGGTCGCAAGTGCCGTAGGTTCGTTTCAAACTCTTTGCCCTCATAATACACTTCACCATACCTCGTCAACTCTGGTTTCGTCTGGAACCTGAAGAACGCATCGTAAAGTTTCTGGTAATCAATATCGAGTTTTCCGGTCTTTCCCTGTACGCGCTCGCGTTGCTTCTGCTTCAGCGTGGCGTTTTCCTGCTTCTCCAAAATCGCGTCTCGCATCTCTGCGATGCCTGTTTCTTGGATGAATTTCGGTAGCGAGAACGGTGGCTTCTCAATCCCGCGTTTCGAAGATAGATATTCTCTCTTGAGCGACCAGTGACTCGGTACTGGGACAACGTTTCGATATGACTTGATATGGACTAACAACCTGGGATCGGGCGCTGAGGTGTCTGTCCATTCCACCATTTCAGGCCTCTTCACAAGCGCCTTCAGTTCTGCCACGGACAACTTCGTCATCTCTTTCCTCTTTTTCTTGGAAATCTTTGGCGCCGCGTTTTCTTCGTCCTCGTCTGGAATATCGTCGTCGTCGTCATAGTACACTTCTGGCTTCTCTGGTTCCTTTAATGCGGGATCTCCTTTATCTGCCTCCTCGAATTTTTCCATCACGTTCTTATACATATCATATAAAGGATTCTCCTCGTCGACAATGAGTGGGTCTGCGAGGGGGTCGTCATAGTGCGCATCTTCGGACTTGATCTTTCCACCTTTCGACGCTGCAGGTTGTTCTTGTTCAACTTCGACTTTGGGGGATGCTCCATTTGTAACTGTGTCTTCTGGAGCTGGTTCCGCGCCAGTCTGCGTGCCGTCAGAATTAGAAGACAGGTGGTAAGATGGAACGTATACCTTTTTCTTCTCCTTCTCAGCCTTCTTCTTTGCTCGCTTTAGCTGATTTTTGGTAGGCTTCACAGCGGTAGCCATGATCAAGTGCTTCTCTCCAGCTGACTCTGAAATTCAGAACAAGTCACAGTAATGCTGCGACAGACGCAGATGAAAGCTTGATGGCAGGTTATATTACAAGGAAGCAAATAGTCACAGCGGCGTTTTCCACATGTGCCTCGACTCGCAAGGATGCATCAGGAAGTGCAATAGCTGCAAATATGCCAAGGATTAGAAATCCGTCCAATCATGCCGTTGACACCAAGCATCGCTAGGGTGTAAGGCTACATACAAGGCTGAGGATCTCACTGTCCTTTTCACCCTCATTTATGTATCGATCATTTATATCTTTCGAGTGTCATCAAATTGTGCACCTTTCTTCGTGTTACTTTTCCATCCAAGCGTCTACTAATTCTTCGTCCACAGCCTCGGGTCTTTTACTGACAATCTCTCTGTCCCAATCAAGCCACTCCCCCGCCATCGCATTGCCAATATTCGACCTCAAAACACCCACGCTCAAATCAATGATATAAGGCCTCTCAAAACTCTGGTAGAACATCGTTGCCCCGCAAACGGAGCAGAAACTCCGTATCACAAACTCTGAGGACTGATAATGTTTGAGTTTTACGACTTGGACCGTCTCTTTGATCTTGGGCCCGAAGACGATCGGCTCGTTCTTCACAGTAAAGAACTGTGATGGAGGAATGTACGCCCACGGTTGCAGCGCGAAGCCCAAGGTCAGGCGGCAAGAGCGACAACAGCAGAGGCGGGCGTAGTATTTGCTGCTGTCCTTTTTAGGCACATACCATCCTTCACTGCTGGCATTATACGGCGGTGGCGCGATCAGAAGTTGACACTCTCCACAGTGACAAGAGACATTTAGCATTTCCCCTCTGTCAGGGGCGGAGGATGGTTGAGTAAGTGATGTCTTCTGGTATCGCAAAAGGTCACTCTCCCCTAGGGGACCTTCAATTTGGAAGTCCGGCTCAGTCCTATAGCATGGAATATCCCGTCCGCTTAGTTTGGTGAGAAAGGGCGCGATGCCACCATCGTTTGAGTCGCCCAGATACCAGTGGCACATGACCTTTGTGGTGTTTCTTTGCCCTTTCATCTGACTCGATTCATTCTTTTCTTTCTCGCTTCTCTCTAGGATCCCCGAGCAAGCTATCCACACCCCGTCCCTTTCCGAAAGAACAAAGACATTGCACCCGCATTTCCGACAGAAAAACCGAGTGAATTTCTCGGAAGACTTGTAGGCAGTAGTGCAACTGAGTGATTCCTCACTGGGCGAGCTACTGAGTGGGAGATAGCATACACCCAGGGCTCCTGTGGTATGCCGGCATATGTTGCAGTGGCACATAATGCATTCATTTGGCATGGCTGAATTAGCCAGCAATGAAGTGGGTTCGCAGACAGAACCGCAGTAGCATCTAAGGCTTGACTGTGAGGACATTTTGAGGGATGACTGTATTGACAGGCCGATGTGTCGATATAACATGTCGATACGGCGAAGGAAATAGGTCTAAGCTGAGAGGTTAGCCAACTCTTATACAAGATAGTCGTTCAGCTCCTCCATAACAGGATGTATTCTCAGGCGACGGTATTGATGAGAAACAAATACCAACCTGAGAAACCCAGCCGACGTACTTTGGCGCCTCTGCAGTAGTAGAACCTACTTGCCGGTTGAGCGTCAAGAGCCCCAGCGTTAAATACGCTCGTGACAGTAATCATGGCAATTGGATTGTGGGGCTGCTGAAGTGGGAAATGGTCCAAAATGTTTGGAAACAAGAGAGCCAGATGTGGCGCCTGCGCACATAGTGTCGTTGATTGGATCGGGCGTATAAATGAACCAAAGAAGCACTTAAGGTTGTGTTCATATGTTGCTGTCACTGATGAGATGTCTCGAGCGGTTGGACAGCCAAGATACAGAGATCGATTAACACAATGTTCTGCTAACCTGTGCGTATTTCTGCCGTTTGGCTCTAGCATTACATACACAGCTGCGCCTCCCAGTATGGCGGGTATCATCCCCCCATCAACGCCAATGATAAATCATTTTTGGCAAACAGAATGCCCATAGCGGAAAGCGTGAGAACAAGCAAGATTGTATCATGAAGCAAATGACCACCCAGTCATCCCTGCCACCGTCACCAGAACACCGGACTTTTTTGAGTGCCCACCTAGGCACACCCGCCGCCCATGCAGAAAGAATCGCTACCCCATTGATTCTGCTTTTGTGATTGCTCATAGAGCCATACACTCGGTATCTTGGATATATCAAGCACCAGGAAGATTCTTCAGATCGCCGAACCCGCCGGCGTTTCCCTGCTCTCCCAACCAGCTAGACTCAACCAAAGAGTCTTTTGCCTGAAGAAGATATCTGTAGGCGTGCTTGATAGTTGCGTCGCTCACACCAGCAACTTCGCTGATTTGTTTCGTGGACTTCCCAAATCCTAGCAAGTGACTGGCAAAATAGGTGCATGCGGCAGCGTTGGATAATGGACTGCGCCCAGCCAACCCTTCAACAGTAGGTATTTTTTGTGCAAGCTCCCGTGCAATGGTCGAGACGCGGAAAGGGAGTCCAACCATGTTGCAGTACCGGTCACAAAGATCCTCGGGTTTTGTTGACTGAGTGCTCTTGAAACCGAGAAGGTTCCGATTCGCTATGCCACCACTTTCTTCGATAGCCTGAATATTTTCGTTCGATGACTTTGTCAGAAATTTCTCCAGGTTCTTGTATGCCCGTCCGATCTCCTTTTTGGGAACCGATGTCAATCCGAAGATCTCACTGAAGGAACGTGGCGCCTGGTGTTGACGACAGGCAATGAAGAGGCATCCGGCCAAAATAACCTCTGTCTGCTTACCACGGAGGGCGTTGGCTTCATAGACGCGCTTGAAGTACATTTTGGCGGTAGTCTTGATCGTAGCGGTAAGCTTGGCCTTTTCACCCCATGCCTCGATTTGAGCATAAGCGGTTTGCAGAGCCTTGTCCGCCTTGTTTTCCTGCTGCATGGCCTGTGCCTTCTTGAGCTTCCGTGTCTCCTTCGATACATTTGGGCCGCCGCCACCAATCAATGTACCAGCGTTGTTGGTTAGAAACAACTCATTATCGGCTTCACCGACACGGTTAGGGTCATCGCCTTTGCCTTCATCGGAATTGAAGGTACGCCACTCGGACTCGTAGCTGACTAGACGCTCGGCAAGGACCATTCCACAATTGGCACAGATGGTATCAGCATTCTCCTCGATAAGATCCGGAGGGATCTGCTTGCAATCAGGGCAAACGAGATGTGTGTTGAGATTTTCGCGCCATGCTGGTGCTTCGGGAGGCTGGTTCTCGACGCCCACGGTGGACATCTTGTTTGGTTTGGGAGCGGGTGATTGGGAAATATTCTTCGTTACTCGTCCACCAATTCTCCCTTGCAGGCGTTGCGATTGGCGTCGCTTGATACCCTTGTAAGTCGTCCGGAGATTGTGATTATTTGCAAAGGTCTTGACGAACAGCGGAGAATACAGTTTGGCGGTGATCAAGGTAAAGGCCGGAGGGGCCGGATTGTGTCCCAGCAGACTGTAGGCTCCTTCCACCTAGTCGAATGTTGTCACACGCAGAATGGAGTGAAGGGTGAAATGTGAAACCGATAGAAAACGAGTTTTAATTTATGAATCAATTTTGAATGAGCGAATAGGTAGTGTAGACGCAGACTCGGAGGTCGAGGATCGTCGTACACTGGATAAGGCAGTTTGTCAGTCAGGTCATCAACAAGTGAATGAGACAACCCAAACGCTGAAGCCAAACGATGCTCTTCTCAACTATCTAAAGTGATGTACCTTTCTTGCGTGAAGCCCAAGCGGGGTACAGGGAGTAGTTATCGCAGAGTGTTTGAATAAGCGCAGGCGTCAACGAAACGAGGTTCTGACTGTGACCGTTCAACCAGTGAAGGTCTCGTGAGTCGTGAAAGCCGGGGGGTTTCTGAACACGAAAAGTCGTCGTCAGTGGATCGTTCTAAGTTGCGCAAGATCGTCAAAAATGCGTCCTGTAATAGATAAACGGCGACAGAGGCAGGGTTGACGGCGTCTGCGATATGTAGATGGCGGGATGGTGGAGAGAAGGTGGTAGAAATGTCAAGGTGAGGCGCAGGTTGGAAATCCGAAGGTATGTCAGCCTACCTGGTGAAGTGGCCGGCGGCTGGACTAGATCACGTGATAGTAAAAACAGATTGCTCGAGTACTTAATCCGAAAGCGGTTAGTCTCTGTTCTCGGAGCTACTCTTTCCTTCGTGCTCGACAAAGAGCTTCTTTGTCCAGCGAGAGGAACTTGTTATACCTTTATCAAACATCAGCAATGGCGCAGTCTCTCAGGGCCAGCGTAAGTTTTACATTCATTTGTCCCTGCTGCTGTTGACAAGTTATCTAGACACGTGTCTTCGCTCGATTGAGCTCCAGAACGCTCCCAGCTTCTCGCCGAAGCTTCGTCGCTGCCCCAGTTTCAAGGATGCGTCAGTACATTTTCTCTCCCATTCCGAGAAACCTACTCATGAAAAAGCAGCGGACTTGATTCAAGATTTGTACCTCAAAGAATTACGAGCGTATAAACCCCCGCCACAGAAAGCCTCAGATGCTGAGGGGCAGGTTCACAAATTCACACCTCCCGCCGTGCCCAAGTCACCAGAAGAGACCAATCTGGCAAGCGAGATGAAGGAATACGAGGATCAAGTCGTGGAGATCGAAGGACAAGCCGCGCCTGGCGAGACACAACCAGAAGAAGACTTTTTCGAGGACATTGAGGAGGAGGATGCACCAGCACACCATTGATGTCGCTGGAAAGAACCAAGATAAAATGGGTTGTACAATCAGTCAGAACATGACATAAAACATCTGGTGCTTCTCGGTCTCCAAGAGAGTGGTCAATCCTGTTCTCCTGCGTAACGAACAAAGATGCTACGCAGCATCTCAGCCCTATCACTCACCACGTCCGCAGAAGAATTCCATATCCAGAATTTTGAAGTGAGCCCGAGCGTCGGAAGGATGGACCAGATTTCTAAAACCGGTTGACTTTGGGCAGTGGAATGCCTTATGAGATCGATGTGTGCCGTGGCATGCATCCCTGTCTCCCGGCCTCTAAGCACGAGTCCGTCTACGTTACGCCTCGTCGTGACCATGCTTCTGATGCCGATGTTTTCTACCAGCTGCCACAGACGAGGCTTTTGACGTGATACGCCAAGTCTGTCCATGCATTGCCAAGGTCCGCCGCGCAACAGACTGAAAGCGTGCGCATCCAGGTCCCTCTCACCCTCCATTCCCAGGTCCGCAGGCCATGATCTGAGAAACCCTTCACTTGTACCCCACAAAATCTGACCGCCCAGGGTAAAGACCACTCGCAGGAGATAGAGGCCGCAGTAGCGGCTGGGTAAGGGTGCTTCATATCTACGTAATCCTCGGTGACGATAAGGCAGGCCGATTGAACAGCTGCGGTGTAAGCATTTCCGTGAGTAATATCCAGGCCAATGGGCAAACCAGCGGTACGAGGTATGCCACAAAAGCGGAGAGTCACGGAGTGCCCACGACACCCTCCAATCCTCAGGTCCCAAGGGGCATGCGTACGCTCCATCTGGCATGATCCCTCCAGCCAGGATAGGATAATATCCCGCACCTGAACAACGGTATCATTGATCTTCAAAGAGTGGATATACATCAGACGGAAAAAGCAGAGTACTCGGTACATGTTCCTGCGACGATGATGCGATAGGCACTATTGGCGTCAACCTGTATGATAACCCAGTTTTGCTGTGCTGTTTCTGGACAGGCGCCGAGCAAGCGAGAACAGGACCATACAAGCGGGGACTATAGTTGGTTTGAAGTCCAGGCCCGTCGGGGGTTGATGATGCCGACCGTCTCTCTTCAGGCTCACCCAAGGCTCATCGGACAACCATTCGCAAGCGCCCGACGCCCTAAAGGCGCTCCACTGAGTCTAATCCTCCACCTGCGACCTCCAAAACGTGCACCCTGAGCCTGAAGGACTGGGACACTCTTGATTTCCACTGTTTGAACTGATACTGCTCCTTGCTTGCTTGCTTCGTTGTCCATCCTTTGCCTTTCTCTCTATTCTTATTGTCCTTCGTTAATGTACTTACCAATCTTCTGATTCTTCTCCCTCTTTTGTTCTTTGGCCTTCGGAATTCTTGTATATCAGACACTCCCCCAGTGTGCTTATCACTCCCCCAACCCCTTCATTTGCGCCCATCGATCGGCTCCTTCCGGCTGGCTGAATCTGTTGTCCGTCTCGGCTCATGTCGATGTTCTTTCTCTGTTGATTTGTGCCTGATGGCGAGGAGTAGAAAAAGGTTCACATCTTCGGCATTGGCGTGAGCAAAACGACACACGGGGCTTATAGTCTGTGAAATTTGGACACGACGACATCATGGCCGTTGCTGCGCACGTCGAAGGACAGATTCTGCCCGTCCTCCCAATTCATGCCATGAGTCCCCTGCCAAATCACTCGGGCACAACAGTGTCTTCTCCAGAGTCCTTTCAACCTGATCCTCCGAGGAACTTCGTACGCTCAGCCAGTTTCACCTACCTGCCTACGTTAGATACCGAGCACTCCGACTCTTCCACAATCAAACGTACCTTCTCCGAACACATCATTTCCCTCCCCTCCGATCCTAAAGTCAAGGTCAATGACAGTATGCATTCAGCAAACTTGGAACTGTTCCGACGTGTTTCCAGAAAAGCGAAGAGGAAAATGCTAGCCGGTGCTCGCTTCTCCCTCTCTCCCGATGACGACGAGCCGCAGCCGCGGGAATCGAGCAACACCAACGGCGATAGAGATGGACAACCAAAAAGCCTCGGCCGCTCTGTCGCAGGAACCCTTCGAACCATTGCACGGAAATCATGGGTTGGCTCTTCATCAAGACCTTCATCTCCCTCTCGACAAGAAAGCAATACTCCAGAGAGAAAGCGAAGTTGGTCACCCAGTAAGCGAAAACTTGCCCATGCTGCGAACTCAGTTACAATCCCGGAGCCGGTGGCATCAAGTCCTCCGCTGCGGACGTCTCCCGAAGAACTCGAATCCAAATTAGAGGATGCCATACAAGCTCAAAGCATTGACCGACGTGGTCCGGTCCCTGGCCCTGTGCACAGGCCACTTTCCATCCTACAGCCAAAGAGCAAAAGTGACCCGAATATGAGACGTATGTCAAGAAACTCTTCGACAACTTCTCTGCGGAGCTTTGTGTCGAACGAAAGGTCTCAATCGAGACTTTCGCTGAATAAGGTCCCCCCTCTACCATCTTCACTTTCCGCCGATCGCTTGGCGGCTCTCAACGCTGAGGCACCACGGAGGAAGGATCCTCTATGGACTGCTTTCAGGACTCTGGATGGCGAGTACAGTGGATTTCAGGCAAAAACAAGCCTTCAGAAGGCCAAAGTGCTTCGATTAACTTTGATCCCGTTTCTTGTCAAGTACGAACACCATCCGTCCCATAAATGTCTGCGAGCCGAGGATCTGGATCGACGAGTAGTTATTCTGAATAAATGGTGGACCGCATTGCTGGAGATGCTTCACGGAGCAAATAACCAGTCGATCTCTGGTACGGACAGGCCTGCGTTCCTGGAGTCTGCAACCAGAATTATGATTAGGCCAGAATGGAGGATACCAGGCTTCGCTTCTGTTCTGGGAGAAAGTCCCCTACGCCACTCAATTCCTAAGTCAAAGTCGACGAATTCTCTCGAATCAGAAGAAGCAGACTTTTTGGTTGATTCTATCCACCAAAATGTGCGCAACACTTTTGTCCAGAACTTACTTTCTCAGATGGAGTTTGTGACTAGCATCTTGTCGCTACGTACTGCTCCCCAAAGTCTCGTCACCTTTGCTGGAAAAGCATGTGCTTATGCCTTTTTCTTCTGTCCCGGTGTGGGCGAGATGCTGATTAGGTTGTGGAATCTGCCTTCACGCGCTCTGAGACGTATATTCAGACAATTCGGCGTTGAGAATGGAGAGAAGCTTGACTTGGTATCCAGTGCATTGGCAAGGAATTTTCCGCCGTCAGTCCGCAGCCTATGTGTGGGATCTCAAGCAACATTTTCACGCCGAATTCAGCAACGAGGACCAGTTCCCGCAGGTTCGGAAAGGATTAATTGGTATCAACCGTGGATCGCGAGATGGTCTGGTCACAACAGTGACCTGTTTTTTGTCTTCACCAAACAGTACCACCTCCTGGCCTCCGAGTTTCTGACGGAAGAGATTTCGTTGAAAGACCGCGCAGCTGTTCCTGGTCTGGTCCCGGTCTGCGCGCAAATGTTGCTCATTTTGGAGACGACGATCTACCGACAAGCCGGTCAACTTGGAGTCGAGAGCTATGCCACCGGTACTGGACCTCATCTGGACAACCCAGATGCCTTGGCTCCGCTACCGATGACAATCGCAAATGCAACTCGCTCGATAGCGGAGAACCGCTTGATTATGTTGCTGCGGGATGTCATGGGAGATCTGGCTCCTGAACATTCGCTTCTACGCAACCTCTTTTTGTCCTCGTTTGACAGTGTCACCAAGGCAGCCACTGTCCAAATCTCCTTGTACAATAACGACGCATGTTTTGTGATTTGTGATTTTATGGAGGAAGTTCTTCCCATCATGTTCCGCTACCACCAGTCATACCTTGATACCCCAGTACTCGACTGGCCATTCTGGCTAGAGGTCTGCAATCGGATGTTGCACAGTCAAACCACCCTAACCCAGATACGGTCGATTGCATTTTTGTACAGTACTTGGTCCATTCTAATACATAATGAAGGACGGAAGCGCCAGTTGGTTCTAGAATGTCTGCTGGACCGGAACACATTCGAAAAGCTATTTTGCCACTGGTCACCTATGGTCCGGCATTACTTCTATCGCCTTCTCTGCTGGAAGGTCGCGCGTTACGACGAGCACGTGTCGGACCTGGACTTGTAAGTCGGAGATGGACTTGGTTTTCGTTGGAATAATCACTGACTCCACGGCAGGGAAATTTTGCAGACATTAGCAGCGAGATTGAATAAGTGTTGGGCCAATTATCAATATCTCGCTGCGGAAGCGGAGATGCGAGGGGTTGTGGCACCATCGTCAGCGCCTTGTTCACCTGCACCTAGCCGTGTCCTCCTCATCATCCGCACCGACAGCCAGCCTATTATGACCCCGTCCAAGACACATTTTGAGAGATATTTGCCGCCCGCGATCGTCACTCAGAGCTCGCCCTATCAAAACCATTCTTCAGTTCTTAGCACAATCCCCACGGCAGATTCTCCAGCTCAAGGGAACAGAAAGCGGTGGAGTCTGTTCCGGGGTCTTAATGTCTTTGGCACACCAGGGAACAACCGGCCAGGAGAAGTAACACCGCCCGGCAGCCCCGAAGAACACAGTGTCACCCCTGCCAATGATAGTCCGGGGCCAAACAGTGCCATCCTTGCACCCAAGCGACCAGCTACGCCTCCCCATCAGGCATTTTCATTCAAATTCTCCCTGGAACTCCTGCCAGGGCGCACAAGCATCGAGAGCAAGAACCGGGTGCTGACAGCGCCTCAGCTTCCGCCCAATGCCCGAAGTATCCTCACTGCTCGACGGAGCTCGGAAAGTGCCGGCAGCAATACTAGTAACAGCACTGGAAGCGGTCCGGGCAGCGGCAGCAGCAGAGGCAGCGCGATGAGCAGTGACGATCGAGTTCGAGCCAGAGCAATGGAAGTGAAGCCACTAAAGCCAAGGGACCATGAAATGAGCACGGCACGATACAGCGGCCGATCACTAGCGGAGTGGAACCAGGTGCTGAATGAATGTCGCA